GCTTTTGCCCAAATTCGATAAAATTTCAAATATTTTTTAATGAGACTAACTCTATGTGAAAGATATAACTCAGTGTTTGTTGAATATAGTGGATACTAAGTAAAAAGACCTCCATGAACAAAATTGGGAAAATTGCACATAATATCTCGGTTCGGAATACTAGTCAAAATGACTTCATTAAAATTGAAATAACTCCATCAGTTTTCAATATTTTTTCAAGAACTTTTTGGAATCGATTAAGAATTGCATTTCAAGCTTATTTTGGGCAACAATTTTCGATGTAGGCCTCCAAGGATAGGGATATATTAAAGTATATTGTAGGTATATTAAAGTATATTAAAGTATATCCCCGGGTCAAAATTGGGAAAAATCCTACATTTTAATATACTTTAATATGGTTGGCCCCCCCCCCCCCCCCCCCCCAATAACGTCCTTTATAATAACCTGTGAGACTTGAGCTTTTTAATGTTTAAGTTCGTCAGTTACTTCCCAATTGATGTTTTATTTTCGAAAATGGTTTTGATTTATGTTTGTGCCTTCGGTTATGCACTCAAAATATGTCTTTAACTTTGTAAGGTTTCTACTGAATGGCAGCCACTTGAGACTTTTATACTTTTTATCGACTCTAGAGTCTAGATCTAACGGTTAGCTGTTTAATTTTACGAGGTGTTGTCGTACTTTCATAAGATGTACGTGTTGAAGGTGAGTTCCTTGTGTTTATAGTTTTAAAGTGGAGATAGTTATGTTTTTAATCGAATATGTTAATGATACAAGAGATTTATTTTTATTCAGATCTAAATCGTAGTCTTGTTTTGTCAAACTTTATTGTAAAGTCAACCTTGCATTTTGCAATAATTTAAAAATCAAACTACAGGGTGCTGGGTGGATTATACTTAACCACTTTTTAAAATCAAAAATCCGTTTTCAAAATAATGTGGAAATGCGATTTCAGGTCGATTCCGAAAATTTCATGCAAAAATTTTGAAAACTGATTGAGTTGTTACAATTTTAATGAGATCAATTCCGCGAACCAAGATACGGGCAATTTAATTTAGTTCATTTTTGTGTGTCTTTCTCGCCTTAGTATCCACATTTAAACAGATATAAAGCTATAACTTACAGAGAATATGTACATGGTTGCCTCAACACTGTTGACTATATATACATAATAGTATGACTGAAAATTGTCAACCCGTGATTATTAAACGAAAAATAAATAATAAATTAAACATGATTTATAATTTAAAAACTGTAAACCACAAACTGAATTATCGCTTAAATTTCGCGCTCACTAAATCGCTCGCCCAAACTTTTTTCATTTAACTGTTAATGCGTATTTTCGCATTGGATAAATTGCAATATTGGTTTGGCTGTCAGGAGTGCTGCGCTGGTTCTATATATCCTCAGTATTTTGCTTCAAGATCAGTTAACGTCTATCCTTAATAACACCTTATTTAGTTATTCTATACTTCATATTTGACTACACTATTTACTCGATTAAAAGTCTGTGATGCATGATCAAAGGTATGTTAATTTCGAGTGATTAAAACTTAAAGTTCATCGCCAATGGTCAATTTGTGCTTTCGTTAACAATTTCAGGTTTACTGCCGAGTTTTTGTTGGGTTGACCATTTTGTGGAAATCTACCGGATCAGGATGTCTCTATCCATTCGTGTCCTACTAAAGCTTCATCAAAAACAAGGTACATATACGTACACTTAGAACACCTTCACCATTCAACTCTACTCCAGCTTCTATCAATCACGATTTTTCACTATCGCTGTTTCATACATCTTTCAGCAGTGCAACGTCATTATAAGCAGCTGTTTCTGGTTTCGATTGTTAATCATATTTTTGAGGTTTGAAGTGTCGTTGAAGTGTCATGAATTTGCTGGTTTGTAAAATTAGGTGGCTTACGTAATAATATCGATTGACAGCAATGTAAACAATGTAAATGTTAGTGAACACTCAAATTATTTGTTGTCATTCCTTATTTATGGTTGTTCTTGTCTCAGTGATTTTATGTAGTCGCAATTTATTTAAGCTGGCTATCAAAACCTTCCCCAGCTTGTTTTAACATAATATAAATATAATTTGAAATCATAATTGGACAGTGGTCTCCCAAAGAGTGCTCCTTGAAATACCCAAACTCAGACGCCTAACATCACTGCACCAGCAATATGAATTATCATGTAGAAAGGAAACCAATCTCACTGCTCAATTCCCATTAAACGATTTTATATTTAGATCTTCTAAAATCTGGAGCACGTCATAGCACCAAAACTCAAGCTTCTTGACTACTCCTATAAAGATAACCTCGCTCAAAGATATAACATCCGATAACTCGCTTCAATAACAAATAATATATACTACGAACACTGTATATACTTATAATATACTTTATTATCTTTACTCATGTATCCATGGTAAAATTGTCGTCCAAACTTGTTGTTATCTTAGCTTAAATATTTGACATGAAATTAGTGTTGTTTATACATTAAAATTAGTGTTGTTACATTAAAAGCCCTTTCTTGAATCAACTGTATCGTCCATACTCCTTATATGGAGTTTTCTTGCTTTTCAAACTAAAATTAGATATAAATGATTTCGGGAATGCACCTAAAATTGAAAATTCTATAAAATGTGACAGAATTCACCTCATTTCCCAATATATGTATAATGTATATATATATATATATGGACACGTTCATTTGAGTTTGAGGATATTGGTAAACAAAAATAATAGCGTTTTCGACGATAGTGGCTTAATTTTGACATCTATTAACTTAGCACGTTCAGAAGTTCTGAACATTAGCCACGTAACACATACTCCCATATGCACTACTCAGAAAGAAAATCTATTGTTGTTAAGCACTATAATGTTTCAAATGTCACATTTTGTGTGACTTAGTTAACTGTAGTTGTCTAATTATCATTCCTTGGTCCGAAATATAGTAGATTAGGTCAATCTAACAATTATGATACAACATTGGTAAGGGCACAAAGGGCACGGATCGAACGGTTACAAGGCAATATTTGGGTAACTTTGTCACAGTCAGAATATCATACCTCTATTCTACTGTGAGGTGTCCTCAAAACCCTTTTAACTCATTATTTGATGGTTGATGTACCCATCATAGCCCTAAAATATGTTGTTTTGAATAGTTAGCTAATACAGGCACTTGGTTATTGGGAAATGAGGTTAATTCTGTCACAATATATGGAATTTTAAATTTTGGGCGAATTATTTATATCTGATTTTGATTTGAAAGGCGGGTAAACTTTATATGATGACAATGCAGTTGATGCAAGTTAAGATCAGTTGATGTTTACATTGTCACAAAAATGAAAAATGATACGAAATCGTAAATAGGTTAAAACCAATGATTATAGACTGAAATAGTCTCTTATAATAACTCTTATAATAACTGATGTGACAAAGTAAACATTTCTTGCCCCTATTTTGAAGATCTATATATCCTGTAACTCTATTAGAATTCAACATTCTCTCAGAAAAAATTGGTAGAATATTGTCCAGAACATCAGAGCTCAAGTTTAACAATTTTAGGTTAAATTTGTCAAAGTCACTAAAAATGTGACAAAATTACCTTTTCCTGCCCCAACAATTTCAAGATAGTGTGTAAAAATTAGCATAAGCTGGTTTATTACCTATATAAATCAATCCAAACTACAAAAGAATATATAATGTTAATGTGATGACGATTACCTAACTCTAATAATAACTGATGTGACAAAGTAAACATGCCTTGCCCCTATTTTGGAGATCTATAACTCTATTAGAATTCAACATTCTTTCAGAAACGATTGGTAGAATATTGTCCAGAACATCAGAGCTCAAGTTTAACAATTTTAGGTTAAATTTGTCAAAGTCACTGAAAATGTGACAAAATTAACTTTCCCTGCCCCAACAATATCAAGATAGTGTGTTAAAATTGGCATAGGATGCTTTGTTGCCTATATTAATCGATCCAAACTACGAAAAAAGATCTGTTAATGTGATGACGATTACCTAACTCTTATAATAACTGATGTGACAAAGTAAACATGTCTTGTCCCTATTTTGAAGAACTATACCTCTATTAAAATAATATGTAACTTTATCATCAAAACAATTTCGATAAACTAGTTATTTTGTTATACTAATTTTTGTGTGACGAAATTACCCTATTTTTTACCATGTTGCGGTAGTTTAATTGTGACACTGTTAACATATTACACCCGATAATGATTTATGTGACTAGCGCATGGTACTAGCAGTGTTGTTTGATCCATAGTACGTAATATAAGGGGTTTAAGCTGGTATATCATTATTTGTTCAATTTCACACATGTTCAGATATCATCAAGATTATGTGACAAAGTAAACTTGTTTGTGCCTTCTGTGTTTTAATTCCTTACGACTATATGCAATATAATAACAATTCCTAGCACTTCCAGGCCATCAAATAAACCTACACTACTCAGCATTGCTTATCAGGGTGCCCTAAACATTCTTCACATATTTTCTTAAATGTGTGACAGAGTAAACCTGGGTGCACCATCTAACGAAAAAAATCGTCAAATATGTGGGTAATGGTCATATGTACCCATCCAATCAACTGGACACTCAAAAATTTGGTCAAAAACGGCAGCAAGGGGTCCATATTTACTCCGTCACATGTTTATAGTGTGACAATGTAACCATTTCCGTGCCGGCCGTATTTAAGCGATATCTTATCATCTGATTAAGATATCGTTATGTGACAAAGTAAGCCTAGAGGATGAGACGATTATCCTAACCATCAAGGGTTTGTGTAATTTCATAGTGTGACAAATTCAACTACACTGTGCCTTTTAATAGGGTCACTTATATTTACCAATATCCTCAAACTCAAATGAACGTGTCCATATATATTTCGTTGCTGTACTCCTACACATTAAAAGTCGGTGTTGATTAGATCTTCGAAATAAGTCTTTGCATCATTTTATTAAACATCGTTATCTCAAATTATTTGTTATATAGTAGTGTTGAAAGTATTAAAATATATATATATTTTGTTGCTGTACTCCTACACATTAAAAGTCGGTGTTGATTAGATCTTCGAAATAAGTCTTTGCATCATTTTATTAAACATCGTTATCTGAGATAAAATTGTTCTAAAAGCAACTGGAATATTCACAAATCTTTAAAATAACTTACAAACTAGGAAAGGGAAACAAGTCTTAGGAAGACATACAAAACTATGTGACTTAAAACGGTACAAAACTAAAATATACTGAGTATAAATAATCAAATGAAAAGAATGGCTGAGTACATTTTATCTAATTTCTATTAAAGATTAGTTTCTCGGAGAAAGCTAGATTCTGATTTCTCTGAATCAAGCAGTAAAAATATATAAATAGTAATGAATATAACACGTCTCTGATAGCAATATTGTAAACTAAACACGGGTTTATAGGCTAAGATCATGTTAAATAAAATAAATAAACTAAACACTAAGCTCCAGCGGATTTAATAAGGATGTGGTTACTATCGAGGGTGTTCATACCCACATAACGCTCAAGGGTTTTCAATTGGGTCTGGTAGAACCCCTCTCTAGCTTCCATGGCCTTTTCCCTATCTGCTTGACTTATTTCAGGTTTAAATTCTAAAGCGTCCACTATAATAACAGAAAGGTGCGTACTAAGTGAAGAGTTATATAAGGCTACAGAACTAAAATCTTAATCATGATCAATATCTAAAAAGTGATTTACTAACTTACAACTTCTGATACCTTTCTTAATGTGGCTCTTATGATTAGAAAATCTCTTAGGGAGATTAGAAGTAGTATTTCCTACATACGACTGTTTACAAGTTCTACACTCCATTAAATAAATAAGGTTATTACTCTGACAAGTTATATATTTAGTAATAGGGAAAACTTGTTTGGAATGGTGACTACTAAATTTGGAACAAGGGGACAGGAAACTTTGCTTACAAACATAGCATTTTCCACAGGCATGGCACCCTGCGTTGTCAGCCTCCCGAACAGCCGGCAATATTGCAGCGTCTGGTTCAAGAAATTGACTAGCAGTGGCTTCTCCATCTCTATCAATGCTTACAGTTCCACCAGCACGATACTTATTGAGTACAAGCATGCCACCGATAGTTTGATTCTTTCGGTGACTTACAAATACACTGTCAGCACGTACTAGCTTCTTCAAGGCTGGATCGAGATTAAGAAGGTGCTTATACTTGTGAATAATGCTCCCCATGTTGGGAAGTGCTGGATTCTGATCCATCACCATGGGTATTAGACAAGTAGTCGTCTCATCCTTATTTTTAGGGGCATACAAGGTTTTCCTATTGGTTATATCACTAAATTTGTTGAAAGCATCGTCTACAATACTAGAATGGTAACCACGGGCTACAAGGTAACCAGTATATACCTCCCTTTGCTCTAAGAAATTAGTGTCTTCACTATTGTTCTGACTCACACGCCTCGCCACACCATAGGGTATGTTTTTGAGAACATGGCTCCTATGACATGAGGTGGGGATGAGATAGCAGTGGGTGTCACTGGGCTTAGAGTAAAGTTTGGTATGAATAACATCGCCAACAGCATAGACATAGGTGTCTAAAAACTCAACACCATCCTTGGCCTTAGAGTAGTCGTAAGTAAACACAAGGTCCGGATGGATACTATTGAGCCATTCCATAAATTGTAGAAGCTCCTCAACACTACCAGGCCAGGCCATGTATATATCGTTATATATATGTAATAAACAAGTGCGTACTGCGTGTATTAGGCAACTATTCAAAACAGCATATTTTAGGGCTGCAATCGATGGAAGAACCTTCGCATAATAAGTTAAAAGGGTTTTGAGGACACCTCATAGTAAAAAAGAGGTATCGTGGAGTGTATTATGCGGAGTGTGACAAAGTTATGTTATTGATTGGACAGCTACAGTTGACTACGTCACAAAAATGTGACATTTCAGAACATTTCAGAACTTCTGAACATGCTAAGTTAATAGATGCCAAAATGAAGCCACTATAGTCGAAAACACTATTATTTTCATTTACCAATATATCCTCAAATTAAATGAACGTGTCCATAAACAATCTAATAACTAAAAAATCCGTGTAATATTGCATCTACTGATAAATATTTTGGGTTCAGTCTTCTTAAAAGGGAAAACATTCCGTATGTTTCTTTATCACTCATAATTCTAAAACACTCAAAAATATACGGACGCATAGATTCATTCTTAATTGTCCAATACTATAGCCCTGCTTGTTCAATTTCGCGACATGATGCTATAATTAGAAATATCATAAGTAATACTAGAGACAGTATGACTAAAACTACCACGTACGCACGCACTCGTTACTTTTTCTGATAAAACGTGTGAGAAATGGTTACTGCAATATAGTTTCCGTAGTATAGGTGCAAATTGTACATTATAGTTATTACATATTATTATTATTAGTATCACAGATAAGAGTCAATACTAATATATGGAATTCTGCAATAGATGTTGGAATTAATTGGTATCCGCCCTCTGATCACGTGTCTTTTCTAACAGCTTTTCTATGTTACGCTTGTTGCGTGTTAAATTATTTCCAGTTAACAATTGAGCACATCCTTTCGTCACAGCCAGTATGGTATCTGGTATCTGGTATCTGGTATCTGGTATCTGGTATCTTGTATCTGGTATCTGGTATCTGGTATCTGGTATCTGGTATCTTGTATCTGGTATCTGGTATCTGGTATCTGGTATCTGGTATCTGGTATCTTGTATCTGGTATCTGGTATCTTGTATCTGGTATCTGGTATCTGGTATCTAGTATCTGGTATCTGGTATCTGGTATCTGGTATCTGGTAATTATCCCGTATATCGCAAATTTTAGTAGTTATATTAAATCGTTCCATCAACTGGAAAGTTGAAAAGTTGGCGAAACATGGTAAAACTCCTTCACATGTGTAACTGTATAGTATGACAAAGTTTACATCTCACTCCCGGCCGAATTTAAGCGATATAATCTACCAATATCCTCAACTTCAATTATCCATCGTATCTTTCTCTCACATCAAAACAAAGCAATAAATTTAATGATTAATATAGCATTAAAATGTAATATTTCAGACTAGAGTGGCTGATCGATGAGGGCTTCGAACACTCTGGGATGGGTTACTGTTATATAGGTACCCATCCCAAAGGAGCGGATTTTTGCGGATATATTCTGGAAAAATTACAGACAGAGACAAGATCAGCTTTCAGCTCACTGGGATCAGGTGTAAGTATTAGTTAAGAATACAAGTAGTTCCTCTTCGTTCAAATTGTTTGCACAACAACCCTGCTTTGAACGTTTCACACCTTTCTAAAACCTCACTACTTTTCAAATATAATTTCCATGAATTTATAAATATTCATAATATGTTTTATTTATAAAATCCCTCCCTCCCTCCCTCCCTCCCTCCCTCCCTCGACCCTCCCTCGACCCTCCATCCCTCCCTCCCTCCCTCCCTCCCTCCCTCCCTCCCTCCCTCCCTCCCTCGACCCTCCCTCCCTCTCTCCCCCCTCCCTCCCTCCCTCCCTCCCTCCCTCCCTCCATCCCTCCCTCCCTCCCTCCCTCCTTCCCTCCCTCCCTCCCTCCCTCCCTCCCTCCCTCCCTCCCTCCCTCCCTCCCTCCCTCCCTCCATCCCTCCCTCCCTCCCTCCCTCCTTCCCTCCCTCCCTCCCTCCCTCCCTCCCTCCCTCCCTCCCTCCCTCCCTCCCTCCCTCCCTCCCTCCCTCCCTGAATTTGATGCACCACTTCAAGTTAAGCTTTCAGACAAGATCAGCGGAACCTAAAACCTATAAGAAGAGTATCTTGGGGAGAGAGGAGCATTCTATAGCGTGGTCATATAAAAACCGATACTTACGTATCACAGAGAGACAAAGGTATGATTCTGAGATAACAACACATCTAGAGCCCACGTGAAAATATCATCAAAATTACGTGCAAAAATAAGCTTTATGAATTATGTATAAACAAGTTCCTTAAGAGAGATATTTATTGTTTTGTTCATTATTATGGTGTTTCCAATTTTATTCAAATCTAAAAAGTTGTATCCCTATTCTCCTGTTATCATACTTTTTGACTTTATAAATTGTTGGGTCAGACATTATCATTGTAATTTGACTTTTGAAATATTGTTCAACTCATTTAATCATTTCATTTTATTTGCTCAAAGAGTAAATACAAATTCTGGGTATATTATAGAGTTAACAATTAACATTTAATTGACGAAATTATCACTAGGTTCACCTGCCGAGCAGGAAATCGGATCTCCAAAAACCCAACAATCAAGATGTGCCGTGGAATTGATCTTCCTAACAAGACAATAAAGATGGGCTGCAAAGCATGGGTTCGGGTATGTGCTTAAATTATCTTTAGGTGCCCTTTTATCTAGCAAGGCGAATGGCGATGCAGCCCTACACCACATCGTACTATTGATTCAGATTTGTAAAATCTCCCGACAATTTGAGAAAAAAACATGCTTGAATAACACGAGTTTCTAGACCTCACAGTTATTGCTAGATGTTTACCACGAGACCCTCTTATAATATGTGATTAATTTTCTAGGCGTACGTTTTTGAAGTGTTGGACGACCTGTATACATACCTCAGCCCAGCTAACCTGAAGAAGGAAAATAACGAGGACCTTCTCAGCTCGAGTGAAAAAATCTATGGGATACAGGTTTATCCTGTTCATAGTATGCACGAGCCATGGTAGGTTTTAGTAATAATTGTCGTGCAGACTGTATTCTGTATGTAAATTGCCCAAATTAAATTCAATATGGAACTAACTTTATCGTCTTCGATTTTTTAGTCAGTATCTTCTTCGATTTTTTAATTCAGTGTTCATCTGATATTAACCTGGTAACTTATTTCAATTTGGTTAATAACATTCAGTGGTCATCTACAAAGCCCTCACCCGGAAGTTGTAAATATCATAAAGGATAATGGTTACAAATGCCAAAATCTTTGGAGGTTAAGGGGAATTCTTGAGGAAGAAGTGACTAAGTTATTAGGTTCGTATAATTCACGTACATACGTAATATATTCAAATACAGTTAATATAACTACATTGAAAATAGATCAGATTAAAAGTGATTATCTGCTGAGTGCTGTTTCTGGTTCCAATTTAATATTTATATAAGAAAACTGGGGTTTGCTTCACATTTACACTTTTAAATCAACCGACCGTAAATCGATTTTTTATTGTACTCAGTAGCACAATAAAATTTATTTTGACAATATTAAATGCTTATTACACTACTTAAACTCACAATACGAATTTAATTTTAGAACAGAAAGGATACACCATACATCTCGATAATAGAATGTGGTTTCCCACTGTCTCTGATATCCGGAATTGTTGTGCTTCGACGGGGCTAGAAGTCGACCGACTTGATGATTTGGTGGAAAAGTTCAGGAGCAGCGGTGATTCTGTTGAGTTTATCTACGAGCCAGATATGGTAAATTTTTACTTCATCTTTGGATGAAGTAAATACCAGGAAGTTATTCGCTGTAGGTAGATATGCCTTAACTCTCTCCAATGAATTATTGTTAACACTCTGTTAATACATTTTCTGTCCACCGCACAGCATGTTGATAGTAAGGGTGTATTGCAAGATGGTGTCCTAAATTAACTACGTTGCAGGAAGTGAAGACAAATACGAAGTTCATGCTCGTATACCAGAACGAGGCAATGAAGTCCATCCTAAAAGACCATGGCGACTACTTGTTTCTCGATTCAACACATAAAACGAACAAGTATAAAATGCCTCTGTAATTCAGCTCATGGTATTCACACCTCACGGATACCAGGTACATAAACATATACCCGCAGCCCCAATTACTACAATTTACCATCAACTTACCATAAATACTCGAAAAAGTACTGACCCATCATAAGCTTACCCAAAACCTTGAATTACTGAAAACATCGGAATATTACTTAAGATGTTATTTATAATTAGTAAATTACTAATAGTCATCACAGTTAAGAATGTTCAACTTCTATAGGTAGTAGCGGTTTTCCTTACTTCCAAGCTTGACGGCGACACAGTAGCAGAAGCCTTGTATGTGGTGAAGCGTTGGAATCCTGATCTTTCGCCTACTTACAGCATGACAGATATCGACACGTATGAACATGATAATAATAATGGCACTTATTGGTAAATTGTTTGTGTATCTATGCCGTAGCCAAGGTATTTCGTCAAGTGTAAAATATTGTATAGATTAATACTTTAACCCCACAGGGCCGAAATTAATGCCATTCAAGAGGTTTTTCCAGGAACTAAACATTTTTACTGTGATTTCCACATTAAACAAGCATGGGAGAAAGCTATCAAGAATCACTTTAAGTCGGATGACATAGGTCTGTAATATTTATGCGACAAGTTTGATGTTTATGATATCCCGTTGCATTAAACAGGACTAACTCCTTTTGAGTTCTGATTTTCCTATTATTCTTATTGTGTGTGAAAACCTTCTATTAAAATTGGATATTGTTTTGTGGTACAATTACTGCTATATTGTTGCTATTGAGTGTGGGTAAATCTAAAAATTATCTCAGACAAGGAGATTGTGGGTGAACAATACATCAACGCTGAAGGTAAGTCATAACCTTTGTAGCAGCAATGTAGCTATTGGATATAGTAATTGATTTCTGTGGCACTCGGGAGACGACTTCATCTCATCATTTTTATTTGTTGATAATTAGAATTAATGTAAATGTTTGATTGTTTGTACATTACTACACCAATTGAACTCTAAATTAAAATTTATTTATTCTTTATGATAATATAATAAGTAAATTAATTGTAATCATAAATTTCAGCAAAGATTACGGCGTATCAGCTATTACTTTATCTAATGGACGCAGATTGTCCCTGGTCACATCATATGACCGAAACACTTGATTCAGACTTTGAGGCACGACTCTTGAGAGCTGCAAATCATCCGGTGGTTTTAAGAAACCCAGGATTTAGGAACTACATGATCTCTTGGTCATCACCAGTAGAGGTTAGAACCATGAAACTGTTTTTCACAACCACCAGGCTTGTCCGCCGTGGCTAAACCAGTCGGCGGCGGCGTGGGCCCGAAACCAACCGGCGACGGCGGCGTACGCCGGCGTGAGATCGACCCTAAGAGACTAAAATTTGGTCTGCTATCGTGTTTTTTGTTTTGACAATTTGAGTATAATAAATAAAACTTTGATTTTAATTATTATAACTCTCGTAACAAAATATTTTTACAGAGAAGCAGATGGGCAAAACCCTACAGAGACAACTCAGCCATTCGGGGGATATACACCAATAACGGAGTTGAGGCTCTAAACGGTGTCCTTAAAAACAGAGTGATGAACAACTCCAGTAAACAAGGAGTGCCGTCACTGCTGCAAGCATTGGTGTATGATTATCTGCCAACAAAACTGACCATGTACCGACACAAGGTGAGGAGGAGCTGTTCTCAATCGAGAGATCCCCTGATTACACGTTTTCTTTTAGCTACATCCCAATACTAATAGATTATACTGAAATAGGCTGGGCATTTGTGTCGAGTTCTGTTTCAGAACGCCTTTCTAATTGCTTATTGTTAACGGTGTGAGCCTTGTAACATAACAACTCTTATTCATTTCAGAGGATGGCAGAGTCCGCTGGTTACAAACGAATTCTGGTTTCCAACAATGAAGCCCACTTTCAGTGGCCTTTATGGATGAATGGTATCCCACACAAATCCCTACTCCGTATCAAGGTATTAACTATTGATACAACAGTGGGTACAATATTTGGTGGGGTTAAGGATTGGATGGTGTTGATGCAGAGCGTTATACTGGGGGGAGCCAAGTAGATTTTTGTAGATATTTGGATAATGTCATCCACATTTTTTTTGTGAATTATCCATTGACAATAATCTACAAATATCTACATTTATCTACATTTATCTACAAAAATGTATATCTCAAATATGTGCCCAGAAATTCAACTGAATTTTTGGAGATAAATATATAAATTTGTAGAATTTTCGTGAATTATCCATTGACAATAATCTACAAATATCTACATTTATCTACAAAAAATGTAATCTCAAATATGTGCCCAGAAATTCTACTGAATTTTTGGAGATAAATGTATAAATTTGTAGAATGTCATCCACTTTTTTCGTGGATTATCCATTCTACATTAATCTACAAATATCTACAAATATCTACTTGGCTCCCCCCTATACTTTTAAGATGATTAGCAATCAATTAGTGCAAAAGCACACGATAAATCAAAGGACAACTTGATCGGTTAAATTCTAGACCTTTAAGACACCAAAAAGATATTGGAAACACACAAAAACAACTATGTTAATTGTGTTCGTTCTCAGGAAAACTACAAAAGGTCAGCGACTTTCGGAGTTGAAGACATTCTCAGAAATGATGATCACTTCATCATAAGAACAAGAGACTTCAGTATAGAAGAATATCAATCGTACCATGCGTACAAGGTCAGTGTTACTAGACGATAAATTATAATTACTAATCTTACTGTATATAAAGCGAGACGGGTAGCGTACTGTAGTGCGACAGTGTCGATCTTGAAGGTTTCGCACTAGGGTACGTGTCGCACTAGGGTACGGTACGTGTCGCACTGCAGTACGGGAACCTACCAACGGTTGATTACGTCAGCGTTATATACACGGTAACTTACCATTTGATTTTCAGGATTCTTCTTTCGTTTCAGTCACCGGCTACACCACCCAGTCTAAGTGCGTTCTCTGTTCTAGCCATACCAGGGTCCTAGCCATACCAGCGTTCCTTACGCTCAGTACTAGCACATAACTGGTAGTCCCATAACGAGCACAATCGCCCATACTTAACAACACTCATCGACGCTCCCTGTACTTGTATTTTGGACATTTACTTTACTATCAAATAATTTAGTATTCAATAACAATCAGATCAATCAATAACTAATTACCCACATTTCCAGGTCACCGTCAGTCCGAGTGTCCACTGTGATTGCCTGAACTTCAGGTCTTACCCAGAATTACCGTGCAAACATTTATTGGCGGTTATTCGTGAGTCGAACGTTGAATGGACCGATCTTCCGCTTTCATTCAGGTAAGAAACGGATCTTGCTTCATTTAAATAATTATGAATAACCTATTTCAGCGTGAAACTAGTTGTTTGATCATTGCATCCTCTTGTATCTGATAAGAACGCTATGCCTATTTTAATATGGATTCTATAACAATTAATTTCATTGACACTGTATCTCAGGCACAATCCTCACCTATGCACGGATCCTGGTGCTAGCTGTTCGACTCAAGAAGTTAGTCTTCCACTAACAGTACCCGATAGTCTTCCACAAGACCAGAGCCCGAAGAAAACAGATAAAAACACTGAGGGAGACCTGAATGCAACATTCGGAAAGCTTGCAGATCTTAGGAGCATGATCTATAAGTTCGTTTTTATTACGCTATAGTGTATATATCTTGTATTACAGTTGAAAAGGTGTTATTCGAGTGTTATAGAAAATGTCGATGGTTAGGCTCCTGAATTAAAAGGACAGATATAATAGGTAGATTGGGTAAAAGGTAGAAGTATTGGGTTCCCTAGAATAACATCTGGAAATCCAAAATTTCAAGAAACCTTAAAATAATATTGTTCAAAGCGGCTTGCAAATCATTACTAGTGTGCGAATCACAAACCTGATGAACAATACCGTGACACGACATAATTTTTTCAGTGTTGCTCCTGAAAATAGACGTGAGATGAGAGACCTTGTCACAAGTGTTATTGATGGGATGCTTCTTCCACGGTAAGTAAAATAAACTAAATAACAAAAGTAGATAGATTAAGTGAATATTTAACAAGTTAACACTTTAACACAAAGGTTAATTGATAAAATTAACAATCACCATGTAAACATGTAAACGAACAATAATTTATGAATTTGTGAAAGGTGAAATTTTGAAAATCAGTTCTTTACGTGTCAACTGTCATGTGATACAGTTTCTATGTGAAGCTGAAAAATATTATTTGTATTTTATAGCTGGACAATGACTGTTGCTAATGACCGCTGCTAATGTTATGTATATGTTACTATCTTGCTGTTCAAATATGTGTATTGCAATGAACATATATTTTTTCGACAATGTATCAAAACATTTAACATTCAGGCTTTCGGAGATGACAAAGATTGACATGACGGTAACAGCAGGGGACGATTTGCCACTGTTGTCAACGACTTCTCGGGCAGAAAAGCGGACGGACTTCGCAGATTCGCTCCCAAAGCGAGCAAAAAAAAAGCGAAAGAAGTTTCCCGAAAGGAAACTAGATTATGGTTTCGGATCAGACTCTGATTTCGAGAATGATGTATGATTTGGTCGACTTTTATCAATTTAAATTTGATTTTTGTTTTATTTTATTGCATCATTTATTGCTTTATTAATTTTTTCTTTTTACAAAACAATTTGTTTTCATTTTAATACAGTATAATGAATGAAACCATTTCTTCTTGATTCCCTGTTCTATGTAACACTTATTATGAGTCTCCGATCTCCGAAAAATGTATCTGTTCATTGTTCAAGTAGGTCATTAAAATGGATTAGTTGCTTACCCAAATATTATATTCAGAAAAACAGCAAGCGAGCATTATTGGGATTGTTGTTAAAGCAACCTCAAACAAATTGATAGATGATTAATACACAAATGCTGTATGCTATTGAGAGTACACTTACAGCGAACCACGCTGATAGTATGCTATAATTTCCAATAATACTGGATATAGTGAACTGTAATCCCAATAATACTGGAGATAAGTGTACTGTATTTTCCATTAATACTGGGGATAAATCTACTGTATTTTCCAATAGTACTGGAGATAAGTGTACTGTATTTGTGTACAGTTTTATCGTGTTTGAAATCATATATCAAGTTTGGCACATAGAAATTCGCCCAAACTTGAACCAATTATCCGTCGACCGTCTTATAGCCTTGTAACTATATGGAAAGTTTTAAGAACATCTATCAGTTAGATCTCGAAATATATGCATGTGTTCCGTTAGAAACCGCCAATTTGGAGATATTTTCTTGTGTTTGAAGTCATATCTCAAGTTTGGCACATAGAAATTCTCCCAAACTCGTACGAATTATCCGCCATATAACCATGTAACTATCTGAATAGTTTAAAGAAAATCTATCAGTTAGATCTTGAGAAAATCGAAAATATATTCTAAGTTATTCACTAAAACACTCGATTTTCGACCAATCCATATTATGGTACAGTTTTGTCGTGTTTGAAGTCATATCTCAAGTTTGGCACATAGAAATTCTCCAAAACTCTCACACATTATCCGTCATATAGCCATGTAACTATCTGAAAAGTTTAAAGAAAATCTATTCGTTAGATCTTGAGAAAATCGAAAATATATTCTAAGTTATTCACTAAAACACTCGATTTTCGACCAATCCATATTATGGTACAGGTTTGAAGTGGCATATATCAAGTTTGGCACATAGAAATTCGCCCAAACTCGCACGGATTATCCGTCTTATAGCCATGTAACTATCTGGAAAGTTTAAAGAAAATCTATTGGTTAGATCTCGAAATATGCCTGTGTTCCGTTAGAAACCGCCAATTTGGAGATATTTTTTTGTGTTTGAAGTCATATCTCAAGTTTTGCACATAGAAATTCTCCAAAACTCTCACACATTATCCGTCATATTATAGCCATGTAACTATCTGAATAGTCTAAAGAAAATCTATCAGTTAGATCTTGAGAAAATCGAAAATATATGCTAAGTTATTCACTAAAACACTCGATTTTCGACCAATCCATATTATGGTACAGTTTTGTCGTGTTTGAAGTTGCATATATCAAGTTTGGCAGATAGAAATTCGCCCAAACTCGCACGGATTATGAGTATTATCTGTCTTATAGCAATGTGTAACTATCTGAAAAGTTTAAAGAAAATCTATCTGTTACGTAGATCTTGAAATATATGCCCATGTGTTCCCTTAGAAACCGCCAATTTGGAGATATTTTCTTGTGTTTGAAGTCATATCTCAAGTTTGGCACATAGAAATTCTTCCAAACTCGTACACATTATCAGTCATATAACCATGTAATTATCTGGAAAGTTTTAAGAAAATCTATCTGTCAGATCTTGAAATATATTCCTGTGTTCCGCCAAAACCGCCAATTTGGAGATATATGAAGTCATATCATAAGTTTAGCACATGGAAATTCTCCAAAACTCTCACACATTATCCGCCATATAACCATGTAACTATCTTAAACGTTTAAAGAAAATCTATCCGTCAAATCTTGAGAAAATCGAAAATATATTTTAAGTTATTCACTAAAACACTCGATTTTCGACCAATCCATATTATGGTACAGCTTTGTCGTGTTTGAAGTGGCATATATCAAGTTTGGCACATAGAAATTCGCCCAAACTTGCACGGATTATTTGTCTTATTATAGCCATGTAACTATCTGGAAAGTTTAAAGAAAATCTATCTGTTGGATCTTGAAATATATGCCCATGTGTTCCCTTAGAAACCGCCAATTTGGAGATATTTTCTTGTGTTTGAAGTCATATCTCAAGTTTGGCACATAGAAATTCTTCCAAACTCGTACACATTATCCGTCATATAACCATGTAATTATCTGGAAAGTTTTAAGAAAATCTATCAGTCAGATCTTGAAATATATTCCTGTGTTCCGCCAAAACCGCCAATTTGGAGATATATGAAGTCATATCATAAGTTTAGCACATAGAAATTCTCCAAAACTCTCACACATTATCCGCCATATAACCATGTAACTATCTTAAACGTTTAAAGAAAATCTATCCGTCAAATCTTGAGAAAATCGAAAATATATTTTAAGTTATTCACTAAAACACTCGATTTTCGACCAATCCATATTATGGTACAGCTTTGTCGTGTTTGAAGTGGCATATATCAAGTTTGGCACATAGAAATTCGCCCAAACTTGCACGGATTAATTGTCTTATTATAGCCATGTAACTATCTGGAAAGTTTAAAGAAAATCTATTGGTTAGATCTCGAAATATGCCTGTGTTCCGTTAGAAACCGCCAATTTGGAGATATTTTTTTGTGTTTGAAGTCATATCTCAAGTTTTGCACATAGAAATTCTCCAAAACCAAAACTCTCACACATTATCCGTCATATTATCTATATATCTGAATAGTCTAAAGAAAATCTATCAGTTAGATCTTGAGAAAATCGAAAATATATGCTAAGTTATTCACTAAAACACTCGATTTTCGACCAATCCATATTATGGTACAGTTTTGTCGTGTTTGAAGTTGCATATATCAAGTTTGGCGGATAGAAATTCGCCCAAACTCGCACGGATTATGAGTATTATCTGTCTTATAGCCATGTGTAACTATCTGTAAAGTTTAAAGAAAATCTATCTGTTACGTAGATCTTGAAATATATGCCCATGTGTTCCCTTAGAAACCGCCAATTTGGAGATATTTTCTTGTGTTTGAAGTCATATCTCAAGTTTGGCACATAGAAATTCTTCCAAACTCGTACACATTATCAGTCATATAACCATGTAATTATCTGGAAAGTTTTAAGAAAATCTATCAGTCAGATCTTGAAATATATTCCTGTGTTCCGCCAAAACCGCCAATTTGGAGATATATGAAGTCATATCATAAGTTTAGCACATGGAAATTCTCCAAAACTCTCACACATTATCCGCCATATAACCATGTAACTATCTTAAACGTTTAAAGAAAATCTATCCGTCAAATCTTGAGAAAATCGAAAATATATTTTAAGTTATTCACTAAAACATAAACACTCGATTTTCGACCAATCCATATTATGGTACAGCTTTGTCGTGTTTGAAGTGGCATATATCAAGTTTGGCACATAGAAATTCGCCCAAACTTGCACGGATTATTTGTCTTATTATAGCCATGTAACTATCTGGAAATTTTAAAGAAAATCTATTAGTTAGATTTCGAAATATATGCCTTTGTTCCGTTAGAAACCGCCAATTTGGAGATATTTTCTTGTGTTTGAAGTCATATCTCAAGTTTGGCACATAGAAATTCTCCCGAACTCGTACACATTATCCGGAGTGTTACCATGTAACGATCTAAAAAGTTTAAAGAAAATCTATCGGTCAGATCTTGAGAAAATCGAAATTATATTCTAAGTTATTCACTAAAACACTATATTTTCGACCGATCCATATTATGGTACAGTTTTGTCGAAAGTCCTTCTGCTGAAAACCACAAATATTGACTTATCCGCGGGCGCAGAACGTTTTGAGTAAACTTTGCTAGTAGGCAGACCATGTGGTTCGCCGGTGCTAAATTATCACAGATAACTAACGCGCATTTAGGAGACGCGCAAAAGTTGAAATTGTTATTACGGTTTGGGCGAGCGATTTAGAAAGAGCCCTTAAATTTAAATAAGTATAAAAACAAAAACCATCATGTGTCGTTAATTAAGCAGCAGGACGTGGCTCACTTGGGCCACAGCAAATCGGCGAAAATGGTTTCGGAAAATTAAGCCACTATTGGCACTTTGGTCCTTTCGATCTTTCCGGTGGTGCGCTGGGCCTTGATTCACGATGTCAATCCTTCGCAGCTCGACGAGGCCCAGTGGTGCACTGGTGCATCTCGCCGATCTACCGAGAAGAATTATTTGATGCGCGGGGCGGCCCAGTAGTGCATCGCGCTACAATTCAGAACCAGCAAGAGAATGAGTTAAAAAAGTCACGTGACAGTCGAGTGTAGAGTGATTAATCATCATCCAAAGAAGTGATGTGTGTTTCTGCAGAGCACTAGACGGAGACCAAACTGGACCCACAAACCGCCCGCGCCCCAGTACCCTCCCACACTATCGCCCTGTATGGTGGCTGGCCAGCCATATTTCTACCCTGCATTTGAAATTCATAAGCTGAAGAAAGAAGAACTCATACCAGGGGCCAAACCACCAGCAAGACTCATTACCGCCCTCCACGAATGAGCCAGCAGACGACAGGATGTCTTCCTAGCTGATAAATACCTACGTCAACTACAAAGGGATTTTTGCGAGGACCTTCTTTGTTCTTATGGATGATAGAGACGCCTTAGTCTGGCTCGACAACATCAACAATACCCTGGACACAGAACTCAAAAGCATGAACATTAAAGCATTCACATTTGATTACAAAGCTTATATGATTCATTGAGTCCCCACCTTACACTCTTTGAAGATGGAAGAAAAGAGACCAGAATGGTCCGCCAAATTCAAGGAGTGGTTGATAAGAAGTGTTGAACTCAGTTTTGAGTCGTCTATAGGCAAATTTAACGGAGAGTGGTACAGACAGAAACGAGGAGT